ATGGTGTACAATTATGTTTATTTCTGGTATTTTCATCTAATATTTTTGAAACATGGTTGATTGTGAGTTTCTAAACCCTTAGAAAATGAGGCTATAGTAGCTCCTGCCTGTAATCCTAACTATTAAGGAGACTGAGGATCACAGTTCAAAACCAGCCTGGGCAGAAAAGTCCACGAAACTTTTATTTCCAATTAACCACCAAAAAGCCACCAGTGGAGCTGTTGCTCAGGCGGTAGAGCTCTAGCCTTGAGCAAAAAAAAAAAAAGTTCAGGGACAACACTCAGGCCTTGAGTTCAAGCCCCAGGACTGGCACAAACAAAAAACATTCAGGGATAGTACCCAGGCCCTGAATTCAAACCCCAGAACAAGTACAAGGACCAGCACAAACTAATAAAACCCAGTGGTTTAGGAGGAGGCTATTATATAATTTTTAGTCCCAATAGTTCTCAGTGCACTGACTGATCTCAGATGCCCCACCTAGGCCTGCTGTGTGAATACTGCCCTGTCTTTTCTGAGTGCCGGTTCTATTTTCAGCTTCAGGAGCTGTGCAGGGTGGCCTTTCTGTCTTCAGGAGGTAGCAGGGCTCATGGTTAATGGCCCCCAACTCCAGTCAGTGTCTCTGAATCTAGTCTGGGGAGACCAGACTTCCGGTATGAGATAGATGGGAGAGTTACGTTAAACCTTGGTGCTCCAATTTCTTATAATCAGAAAGCATTGGTAGTGATAATAATGCATGTACTTATGGCTTATCTTCCCTAATTATAGTAGAAATTCTTTGAAGGCATAAACAGCTATTTTTCTAGGTCTTATTATGGTGATACAAGGAAGGAGCTAAGAAGATGATCCATTCCTGAAGGCAAAAATCTTTTTAATTTGCTTTCTGTTCACCGAACAGTCCCAGATAGAACTCTATCTATTTGAGTAGAAAACCAGAAGTGCAGACAAAATGTTGGTCTTTGAAGAAGGGTGCAATTCTGAGGGCAGAGACAGAAAGAGAGGAAGTGGGATTTGAAGTTTGAAATTTGTACTCCATATTTTTGTGACCTTATCACCTATTTGAGAGTTTCTGGGGAGGAGACAAATAACCTAGAACAAATACATCTCTCACATAACACTTTCCATGCTGCTTTACCTAGCAATATCACCAGGTTCAGAGTGGCTAATTTCCTTGCTGAAACTACTTAGTCTTGTAAATGTTGCAAATATTGAAACGGCCTGTTAAAATCATAGTGAACATTGTCTAGGAGAATCTTATCAGATGAGCAGAAAAGCTCGAAAGCTATGTACATATAACCATATAAGATAATGCTAAATGAAATGAACCCCAAGATATGGACACAAGAGGTTTTTCTTTGTGGTTGTTGTTTTTAATATACTGTGATTTTTGTTGTTTCTTTTGTATGATCTTCTTCCTATGGTATATCCCTGTTGTCACTGTACTTGATTTTGGTACCTTGTATCTTGTATATACATTTATCTAATCTGGGGAGGGGAAGGGGAATAACAAAATGCTGAAACAAGGACACAGGATGACCCATTGCAACAATGATACCCACAAGACACTATGTTGGAAATGAACTTTACAACTTGGGGTGGGGGTAGTTGGGGGAGGGAAGGGATAGTGGGAGAAAAACAAAGGAGGGGGTAAAAATGCTCGACAAAAACTGTACTCATTACCTTACTGATGTAACTGTAACCCCTCTGTACAGCATCTTTACAAGAAAATAAAAAATCATAGTGATCATTGCTTATAGATTTTAGCTGAGAGCAATGAACATTGAAATAAAGTACTTGTCCCAATAACAAAGCAAGGTTGAAAATATGTAGTTGCTTGATATGAAAGTGTAGCACACACAGGTTCAAAAGAAGCGGAAAAGCAGATCTGAAGTTAGGGAGTTTGGGATCTTCTCTACCCACTTCTATCCCTGCCTTTTGGTGTGGCATTGAGGATCTTTATAATGCAAATGAAATGACTGGCTCAATGATTTCTGAATCCCTTCCTGCTGTGATATGTTGCTTTCCTTTTTCTCCTACTTTTTTTTCTTCTTTCTCTTCTCTTTTTCTCTTTGTTCCTTTCTTTTTCTTTCTCTCTGTTCTCGTTCTTCCACTTTCTTTTTCTTTCCTTTCCTTTCTCCTCTCTTTTTTTCTCTTTCATTTTCTTTCTCTCCCTCTCTCCCCCCCTCCTTTCTTCCCTCCTTTCTTCCTTCCTGTCTTTCATTCTTTCTTTCTTTTGCTTTTTCTTTCCCAGTATTGGAGATTCAATTCAGAACCTCATTATTGCTAAGGCAGGTATTTTACCATTGAGCATGCCTTCAGCTCCCTTTTGTCTTGCTTATTTTTGGGATAGGGTCATTTTTTTTTTTTTTTTTTGTCAGTTGGGGGGCTTGACTCAAGGCCTGGGTGCGGTCTCTGAGCCTCTTTGTGCTCAAAACTGGCACTCTACCACTTATGCCACAGCACCACTTCTGGTTTTTGAGTGGTTCGTTGGAGATAAGAGTCTCATGGGACTTTCCTGCCCAGGCAGGCGTCAAAACTGCAATCCTCAGATTTCAGCCTCCTAAGCAGCTAGGATTATAGACGTGAGCCACCGGTGCCTGGCTGGGACTCGTGTTTTTAATGCCCAGACCAGCCTGTACTATGATCCTTCTACTTGCGCCTCTTCATACTGCTGGAAACAGCCATTGTTGAGACAACATTTATGGGCTACCACGTTCAACCATCTAGTAAGGTAGTCTCTTGAACTTTTATGCTCACGCTAGTCTCAAACTACTATCTCCTGATCTCTGCCACCCAAGTAGTTAAGATTATGAGCTTGGCTACCAGTATAGTATTTTTTAAATCAAGTATGTTTACAACATAGTGACGTTTTCATACATTTTAGAGCTGAAAGAGATGATCCTTTGGCCCACTTTCTTCATATCTGATGAATTTTCTCCATTAAAAAAGGAAAAAGTCGCTGGGTGCTGGAGGCTCACGCCTGTAATCCTAGCTCCTCGGGAGTCTGAGATCTGAGGATGGCAGTTCAAAGCCAGCTCAGGCAGAAAAGTCCATGAGACCCTGATCTCCAATAAACTACTCAGAAAAATCCAGAAGAGAGATTCTGAATTGACTCTCCAATACTGGGAAAGAAAAAGAAAAAGAAAGAAAGATAGAACGATGGGAAGGAAGAAAGAAAGGAGGAAGGGAGAGAGGGAAAGAAAATGAAAGAAAGAGAAAAAGAGGAGAAAAGAAAGAAAAAATCAAAGAAAGAGAATGGAGAAAAGAAAAAGAAGAGAAAAAAGAAAGGAAGAAAGAGAAAGAAAATGAAAGGAAAAGAGAAAAAGAAAGAAAAAGAAAGGAGTGGTTCAAGTAGTAGAAGGCTAACCTTGTGTGAAAAAGCCAAGACACAGTGTGCAGACCTGAATTTAGAGCCCTAGTCCCTCCCACCCCCCACCCATACACAAAGAAGAATAAAAAACAGATTAATTACTCTATATGTTATGCTCCTTGAGCAGTTTCAGCATATTTTAGGCTTCCCAACAAGACTTGAAAGCAAAGAAAAAGGAGAAGGAAACACTGTTTACTACATAAATTATGTTTTGTTTGTATTACAACTCCGCATCCTGCTTGGTGCCCTTCAGTAAATGGTAAAACTAAAAGCATTCTTCTATAGATCATTCGCTTAACATTTTTCTTCCCTGAGCCTTGCTAATTAAAAAATACCATAAACGTCCTAACTAGGTCCTGAACGTTTCTTTGCAGTAATTGCAAAGAGACTTAAATAACTATGGTAAAGGACATCTTCATGTTTTACTCTAAAATGTAGCTCCCTGGGACTCCAATGTTCATATTAATTTGTAGAATTAGTTGTATGGGGACAAAGTCACGTTCGTGGGACAAATGGAGAAACACAGACCCTCTCTCCTCCCCCCCCCCTCAAATATAGGGTCCACAGGGGCATTATAGGCAATGGAAGGAGCTCACAGGACCATCCAACTTAACACATTCAGTGGCATTTGGAACTGGGGTGGGGGAAAACAAGCTCTCTTGTTAATTTCACACTTCCTCTATACATTTCAAAAACAGGGTGTGACTAGGCAACTGGATTTTAAAAAGTCCTTCAGAAGATTAAGTGCCAGGTATACTTGTAAGAATCCTGGCTTTAAGGGGTTTCCTGGCATCTGTTTACTATGAGGAACCCAAATGTGCTCAGTGAAATCCAGGGCTCTCAGCTTCTGGAGGAATATTCTTTACTCAGGAAGGCTCTGGGCTTTCTAGAATGGCTGGTCTTTGTCATTCTGTGTATAGGCACACTGTGGGGGCCATGTCCACGCTCTTCAAAATGTGGGAAAATTTACCCAAGTGGATGGAAAGAAGGAAACTGATACCCATCTTTAGCCTTCTGTTTGTCCTAGCCTTCCAGCGGCCCCAGGAAATAGGAGCTCTTTTGATCTGTATTTGACCTAAGAGTGAGTCAATGTTCAGGGTATATAGCAATGTCCTCATACTGTGCTCTTTCTCCAATTTTCTCCAACAATGCACTTCTTCTGTTCTGATATATCCAAGAAGGCTGCCAGGAGGAGACAGGGAGGGAAGGCCTCTCTGGTCTCTTCACTGGGCCCCTGGGCCAGCCCCTCCTTCTTGTTCATGCCCAGGTTTGTTTTCTTTGCCTCCCTCATTAATGAGTTCCACAGCACAATGCTAAGTCTAGTTATGGAGCCTTAATTGGTTTAGTTACAACAAGATAATTCCTTTTTTCTTCTCTTGGAGGCCTTTCTGTGTAAAGACATTTTAGCTGGAAGATGCTAATTATCAATGAGGAGAAAGTCACACCTGAAGAGTTCATTTTCCATCTTGGTCCTGGGTTTTCTTTTGAACTCTCTCCACCCGGCCCTCTTTGCCACTTCATCTGTTCTCCCCCACCATCATAAAAGAGAGCTCTTCCCTGGCTGGAGACAGAACTCTTCTTTCTCAACTTGCCAGGCAGTTGTTTCTTCCACAGCTGTGCCTCTCGGGAGGGCATGGACAACCTGCAGGAGACCTTCCTCAGCCTGGAGGATGGCCTGGATTCCTCCAGCAGCCCTGGCCTGCTGTCCTGCTGGGACTGGAAAAGCAGGACAAGGCCCTTCGAGCTGAGCCAGGCCTCCCCAGCCCAGAGCCTTTCTCCAGTTCCATCACTGGAGTCTTATTCTGCTTCCCCCTGTCCAGTTGGGGCTGGGCTGCCCTGTAAACACGATGGGACCAGCAGTGGGGGCAGTGATGGCTGCAGCAGCCATGGGGCCGGTGGCTTAGAAGTGGACTACAATATGCTGGCCTTCCAGCCTGCCTACTTGCAGGGTACGGATGGCCCCAAGGCTCAAAAAGGCACCAAAGTCAAGATGTCTGTCCAGCGGAGACGGAAGGCCAGCGAGAGAGAGAAGCTCAGGATGCGGACCTTGGCAGATGCCTTGCACACTCTCCGGAACTACCTGCCACCTGTCTACAGCCAGAGAGGCCAGCCACTCACCAAGATCCAGACGCTCAAGTACACCATCAAGTACATTGGGGAACTGACAGAACTCCTCAACAGTAGTAGAGACTCCAGACCCCAGAGTATGTGAACTCCATTGCCCGAGGAGCTGGGCAGGAATAGAGGAGCTGGAAACACTGTCTCACCAGACAGCAGCATAGAATTATTCATGTCCACTTAGGGTGGTAATCTTGGGCTCTGAGTTCTAAAGGGATCCCATCTGCCTGCTGGAGCCTCCTGACTACTAGTCCAGCAGAAACTGGCCTCCAGCTCTTTGCTCACAGCTCTCCAGAGACTCATCCTTTGCAAAGAGACAGACTGCTTTGCTCTCTGTGTCGGTTCAAGGTATTTTAAAAGATCGATGCATTTTAAATGCACCTTTTTCAATTAATGTAAAATTGTTATAATTAATCTTCTGCCATTTTTTTTTGTGTGTATTGGAAACTTTCTGTTGCTAACTAACCTAATATACTATCCTGGATTCTTATTCCAAAAGCTCTGTGCCAAGCAAGGGGTCCTAGAAGTCCTGTTTTAATGTATGAGAGAGATATGGAGGGGGGAGGGAGGGAGAGAGAGAGAGACCCAGAGAGAAAGAGAGATAGACACAGAGAGGCTGAAAGCATGCCTTTGAATGGAATTAAAATCACCTCAATGCAGAAGAGATTAGTGACATGCCAGGTAGAAGTCACAGCAGACATCTAAGTTAAGACAGTGAAGATCCAGTGATCTGAATCTCCTGTCTGAGGCAGGGCAAGGAAGGCGATGTGCATGCAGGAGGAAGGAGAAAAATCAGAGTGCTAGAGGATGGTCTGAAGTAGGGTTGAGACACCAGAGCTCCCTGTCCTAGGCCTGGTGTGAATGAGACATCATTTATTCCTTCACTTACTCATTTACCAAATGAAGGAATTGGCTGAAAAGAAACCTACAAAGACCATTTGAACTCCATGGATGCAGAGTGAAAAGGCAAGGATTAGAACTCAAGTTGGTTTTGGACCATTCCAAAAGCTTTTATTCTTCAGCTACAAATTCCTGCCCTCGTATCCAGTTGCTTCTCTTTACTCTGGATGCCTCTCCTCACCCCACAGTCCTTCTTCTATTCCACATGCTCCTCTCTACCATAGATGCCACCCTACCCCCCACCCCCACATGCCCCTCTCCACCCACCTACCCAAGGCACAAACACAGGCCAGCTTCACAGGGCCTGTCTTGCAGTATTTGTCTGGCTAATTTGACTGCACAGGAAACTGAAATGGCTTTTAAGTTAAGAAAGTTCTCCGAAACTTTAGGCTTGTCTAAGATTGCCTTTTTCTCCCTGCAATTAACCACTAGCATTTGCTTCTAGACAATCATCTGTTCATATTTCCTACCATTTTTTTTCTACTTAAATTTTTTCTTCTTTTCTGTGATATACATGGTAAAGAGAAATTGCGTTTACAATTTCACGTGTAACCTTTCCTTATTTTTTCTTTGCTGATACAAAACGTGAACATGTATATATCCATGTATATATATGCTTAAATGTATATATGCATTTAATTCTGAAAATTATTTTCATTGTTCATCAGTCTGTAGTAAAATTTCTTCTGAGTTACACGGCTAAACTTGTGATGTGGGGACCACTGTTAGCTTGATTTTTATAGATGAAGAGTTATCGTGCGGGAAGTATAGTTGAAAGAGCTTTCAACATTTAATCGCACAGATTCTGGCAAAGTTCTTTGTGGAGTACCTTTTGAATGAAATTTAAGTCATTCAGAATTTTTAATTAGCAAAATGCTATAGAAAGATCATAAACAATGCTCGACAAGTAGTGTACTCATTATCTTACTGATTTAATACTCATTATCTTACTCTCTGTACTGCAACTTTTACAAGAAAATAAAAATTAAAAAAATCACAGACAGCTAGCTTTATTCACTGGTATTTTAATTGTCCTAGAAAAGGTAATTAGAAAGGGGATCAGACTAGATGCACATTTTTAATTTTTGACAAATACTGTTAGATCATTTTATAAAGGTTTGTAGTTACTTACAGGCTCACTAATATCATATGGCAGAAGCTGTTTGCCCTGCATTGCCACAGGATGCTGGCAATTGTAAGAACTTGTAACAAATAAAAACAGTTGTGTCATTGTGTTAATTTTAATTTTTTTTATCAGTTGAGATGGAATATCTTCCGTATTTTATGTGACTATTATTAATCTTGGTTCATGGCAGTTTATGTTCTATTGGATTATCTTCTTGGAATTTTGGAGATTTCTTTGTACATGAGTGTTGAAATACTCCTTACAATCCCAACAGAAGTTTCTTTATAATGAAAATGATAGCATTGGACTTAGTAACATTGGAAGAAGAAGATAGAGACATGATCAAGTTTTCAAGGAAAACAATTATATCTACCTGTAATTTAATACCTATCCAAACTCCATTGGGATAAAATTAAAATTAAGATCGTCTAAAAAAAATAAATAATTCCTTACAATTTATCATTTTGTTATATCCTTTATAATGATGTCTTCTGATTTAAATTTTTAATTTTAATTAATTTAATTTAAACTGAAGTTTTATGTGGACACATTTTTTTTGTTTGTTTGTTGGATGACATGTGGATTTCCTCTTATTAGTTTTTCCTGGTACCAAAATGGTTTCATTGTTCTCCTGATTTTTTCAAAATTTCTAAAGTTTTAAAAATTCATATATGGGTCTTTGATACATCTGAAATTTTGTTTTCTCTATAGAACTTAATCTTATTTCTGACTGCTATTTTTATAACTGTCATCAAAGTAGGCCAGGTAGGAGTAGATAATTATACTTACCCACTTACTTTCATTAGCTTCTCATCTGCTTCTCTGTATGTGTGTGTGTGTGTGTGTGTGTGTGTGTGTGTGTGTGTGTGTGTGTATGCATGTGTGTATGCGCATGCACACGTTGGAGAATATCAAGATTTTCTCCAATAAATGCTTACCTGGGCATGTATAGGTGTCTGTGCAGTAGTATATTTGTATGTACGTGTGTACATGTATTTGTGTGTATGCAGGCACCTATGCAGGTGTGTGTTGTTTTAGCTGTTAGTAAAGGAGCAGAAAGGATCATCATATATTCTAAAAACTTTTACATCAATGGGGAAGTTTTGTTTTGTTTTGTTCTGTTTTAATAAGCACATGGGGACCAAATACTCTAGGCTTTGGATCTTCATGCTCAATTATTGAGAGTGGTTCAACCATTTGGAACATTGTGTTTGTCCTGGGACTAAGTACTGAGATGAGTTACAAGGCTCCTAATCTCTCAAAGCTACCAATGCCATCATTAGCTGGAGCTGTCTTCAGCATTTCCGGGGGCCCACTGGAGAGGAGGTATCAGCGTCACCACAAAGGTGACAGCTTTCTGGGAGGAGGCCGCTGGCCCCAGTCCCATCTGTGTCCTCCCAGACCGCTTGCACAAGCTGCTTCCCTGGAATTTGTCCAAGATCCCTCTAGAGAGTGGTTGAAAGCATTTGGCCCAAGTCAAGCTCGGGACTTGGAACAAGTTATTTCTGGTGCTTAGACAGAGAAAGGATTGTATTTACATTGCATTTACAAGTGTTGTCTTGGTCAATATTTCCTCTTTCATTAGTTCATATAAGCCTCATAACACCCCAAAGGAGTTGGGCATTGTCATTCCTATTTTGAGGCTGCAGTAGCTGAGGTTAGGACAGCCACCTAGCCACATGCTAGCTAGTGGCACACAGGAATTCCTTAGCTCTTGGCTTCAGCTCTCGTGAGGGAGCGAGTTCAGGCTTTCTGCCTGTATAGAGCCACTGTTATTCCCAGCTTGCTTGAAGGACACCATGTGCACTGGGCTTGGTCAGGGGAAGCCTTCTGAGCTCGCTCACTCCCAGGCTTTGGACCACCTCTCTCTTTCTCTCTGTCTCTCTGTCTCTGTCTCTGTCTCTCTCTCCCTCCCTCCTTCTTTCTCTCTGTCTCTGTCTCTGTCTCTCTGTCTCTCTCTCCCCCTCCCTCCCTCTCTCTCCCTCCCTTCGGGGCCCTCATTTCTTTCACCAATGAAAGCATGTCAGAAGGAGCTATTCAGTATTTGCTCTAAATGGTTTCCCTTTGAACTTCTGCCTCTGTCTTGAATGCTTCCTCAGAAATTCCCCTTTGCTGGCACCTAGAGTGTTTCTTAATCTGCAGAGGAAATCTGACTTCTGTTTGTTTGTGTTCAATAAATTGTTCTACAATTCACACCAGGTTGAGGTTTCTTTGTTCTGCTGGTAGTTTCTGCCACATGAGCTCATCAGGGAAGAGGCCAAATCAGGGTGTGTGTGTGTGTGTGTGTGTGTGTGTGTGTGTGTGTGTGTGTGTGTGTAATTGGGGACTATATCTTGAAATTTTACAAGTTGACAGAATTACACTTGATAAATGATAAAAAACAAAGCAAAAGAAACAAAAAACACAGCAAAGCCAGATGCTGGTAGCTCACACTTGTAGTCCTAGCTACTTAGGAGACTAAGATCTGTAGATAGCGGTTCAAACCCAGTCTGGGCAGGAAAGTCTGTGAGACCCTTAGCTCCAATTAACACCCTGAAAATAAGAAGTGGAACTGTGGCTCAAAGTGGTAGGGCACTAGCCTTAAGCAAAAGAGTTCAAGGACAGTGCCAGGCCCTGAGTTTAAACCACACAACCACTACCACCACCACGAACAACAACCAAAGCCAGAAGCAGAGCTGTGGTTCAAGTAGTAAAGTAGCCTTGAAGACAAAAGCTCAGGGACAGCGCCTAGACCCTAAGTTCATGTCCCAGGACTGCCCTTCCCCAAAGAAACAATAGCAAGGGCTGGGGACGTTTTTCAGTAGAATGGGTTTGCTGGATCCCATCCCTGGTCCTAGCAAAACAAGAGCAACAATAACCAAAGCCATCAAGGAAGATGCACTCATAAGCACACCTAGCTTCTCAGATCCTGTTTAAAGGACTTAGTGTATTACATACATGTCTAGCTGAGACCAAGGCCTTGGCTTCGCACATATACTCCAGGCTTCTAGAGAGAGATCCATGCCCCAGCCTAAGCCTGGATGCTGGCCTGTGGGCTTAGCTTAGGATAGCTTGCAAGGAGCCAGAGC